TCATTGGTAAAGAAAGATACACATGTTAAACGAATATATTAGGCACGGCTCTTTACCGATGGATATTTCATTGTTGATTACTGTAGTTGAAAGTCCATGACTTTTTCCAACGAATAATTCGTTTTTGATTATCAACGAATACGATAAAAAGCTATCTTTTAGTAGTGATAGTCATATGGCTATGCCCTTCACTCTCGGATGACCAAAAATCTCATATTAATTTAAATTAATTATTATTAAATTCAACTAGCAAATACACAAGTATTATTTCTTTATCACAGGGAACTCGTAGCCGCTACCATTCAAGTGCGTACTAAGTAAACTCTCGAGTTGATGCAATAACCTGCAAATACACAAGTATTATTGGATACATTGATGGACGTCTCTTTTCTTAGTATTCCCACTTTTCTTTGATGAGATATGATTTATTTATTTATTATTATTATTTTCAATATAAAATAGTTATTCATCTTCGAGGCCTTTGTTTGTGAAACTTTCCAGCATCACACTTGACTTTCGATTCCGTATTCTAATAATGGAGAACTCTTAGCTCTTACTTACCCACTTAAATGAATTGTAATTGAACATTAATTAATAAAATAAAATCAGGAAATCTACAAGTATATAATATTGAAAAGATTTGGGACCTCTATTTTAAATTTTTTTTTATTTTTTATTTTTCAAGGATTCCATTCTCCATTGATTGGGATGTTTCATCTTTTCTCACATAAGTCATATTGTTCCCCTTCCCTACCACAAATTAGCCATGTAGTGCATAATTAATGCAATATGGAAAACGAAACAAGTCCTCCTTTTTCTAGTCATTTCTTCCCACTCAATCTTCTACACGCCAAACTGTCCACCATTTTAATATCTTATCATGTCTATAAGATTATATAGATTTCGTTTTACATCAAAATTTGATTGAATAAAGCGCACGTTTGATTCGCAGTTCAAATACAATTCAACAGTTTAACGCATAAAATTTTAATATTTTTTGTTTCTTTTTCACACTATATTCACTGTTCTCTGATCTAGTCCTTCTTAATTCCTACCATACATGGAATACAAGTAGATAATTTTATTAAGCTTAAACTGCACCGCTATCATTTATGACAACGATGAACGTATTCAAGTTCGACAATTATCTATTTCATGTGTTACAATTTAAAAATATTTTATTCAAGAAATTTAACTCATCACACTCTTGATATTTTATGCCATAGGTCATGTTGGATTATGGTTTAATAGTGCAAATGATGTCATATGATATACTATTTTTTGCCATGTGGAATGCCATTCTTGGACATGAATGTACTTAAAAAATTCCAAAAACAAATTTATCTTATGCAAGAAGATTACCCTACGTCAATTCCACAGGTCTCTTATCTGTTTATTGAATTATAATTTTGAAAAGTACTTCAAATACGCACAAGTCTGTCCATCTCTAATTGGATCTAGTTTGTCATCCATTTATCTTATAATGTTACTCGAATTCATGCAAGTGTACATATGTATCTGCCGACTTGACAACGAATATATTCTGTGGAGCAAATAAAACTCCTAACACTCCTCGAAGCATACTTTTAGACTCGAAATAGTGAATTGACTTAACCTTAAATCTGTAAGCTCGAGCACTAGCTCTTTTCGTTCATGTATAGAGACTTTTTCGAAGGCTTTTTTTTTTTAAAAAGGCCAAAAATATATATAAACTATCTTTTTTCTTCATTTAAAATGCCTTGTTTTACAATTAAAAAAAATCAATTTTATTCTCAATAAAAAAAATAAATTTAATATGTTTCCTCTTTTCCACTCGTCTCTTCGTCGCCCTGTCCCTATTCCTTCTATTATTACCTTAGTCAGGATTTTGGAGATATCTAAAGTATCTAGTTGATCGGAGCTCCGAAGTAGGGCAAGAATAAGAGGACGATAGGGGACATCTAGATAGGGGAGTAAGGGTGGTGATAACTAAAAAGGCAAAGGTAAGGAATGAATCGAAGAAAAGAGTATAGTCGGAAAAAAAAAATTTATTGAAAAAAGCATGTTTCCATAAATTTGAAAAGTTCATTTTAAGTTTTTGGTCTCTAACATGGTCATTTTTTAAACAATATTCTCTTCATTTTTCAGAAAATTGCATTAAGTGGAAAGTAAAATATATCCGTAAAGTCACAATCTTTTTCCTGTATATAATAGTGATTATCTTATAAATTTGGTGGCATCCACGTCACTTAGATTACCCTTTCCACCACAAAACAGCTGCCATTTTATTTCCACTTATTTTAAGTTAATTTGCTTATCACTAACTAATCAATATTTTCTATTAGTCCAAATACTTTGTAGTCTAAATACATACCTAATGTCCTCAAGTCACTTCGAATTGAGCACTGGAATATCCATTATCCACTTCTCAAAGTGCTATCAATATTGCATGTATACATGTGCCTATTCGATCGGAGTAATTAAACTTTCAACGAATCTCAATTATATTATTAATTTTTTATTTATATTAGTTAAGTCATACTTCATTTTAATTTCAAATTGCACCGATGTCAATTTCATACTTATTGCCTAGTTGACACTTAAATTATAATTGGTCTTCCACATAAGGAAAAGTTTACATGTACATAATTATTGCACATAATATTGTCCATAATATGATGTGACAATCATCCGATTGTTGACGTGAAAATATGAAATTTGAATTAAAGGTTGGATCCAATGCCACATGAAATTATAAATACTATTATGTAAAGAATTATGTACATGTAGCACTTCTCAATTCTTAAAAGGATATGTAAATCATAATAGAATCTTAGCTAGTTCGATGATAATAGTTGTTTTAAAATTCCTTTTTCTTTGTTTTCCAAAAAAGATTATTACCCTTTAGGCCTTTACAAAATAGAGTAACGTGGTCCTCATAAAATTGAAAGAAGTGATGTAAAGTTAAAATTTATCAATATTTTAGTTGAAAATTTGACATATTTTAATTTATATTTCAATTAAATTGCTTTGCTAGAATTTTTTTTGCTAGAATAGTTGACATCCTCTCACAACGCATGGGTCGTGTGTGAATAAAAAAGTCCCAAAAAAAAAAAGTGGGCCCCCTCGTTCTGAGTGTTGGTCAGTCATTATGTCAAAAAAATTCGATCGCCATAACATTGTTGTTTATAATTGTACTGCAATCTTCCGTATAATCGTTGCATGGCACGCGAACTTAGAATTACACCAAGTCATAAATATTAAATAAAAAATGACTTTTAATTTAAAAATATTGTCATAACCTTTATTTTACCAATTTCAATAATAAGATGCCACGTAGCAATTATGTGGAGAATTATGCTTCTTGTACATCTTAGTGTACATAAAAGTTGACAAATAGAGAGGAAAAAAGGGAAACAGAAATTCTGTCAAAGCGATTTTTAATTTCTGTGATTTTTTTTTGTTTGTCAAACATTCAACACGCCAAAATGTACATATAACAAATTCCTTCTTTTAATTTATTTATATTTTAAATCAATAGAGTCCCTCTCTCGTATTCTGGAAGATATGAATATGTTCAAAAGTCAAGATCGCTCTCCTTTTACGAATCTATTCTTAAGTAACTAAAAATAAAAAAATAAAAAGGGCAAAATTAAATCAAAGAAAATTGAAAGAAAAAACAAAATTACTTCAAAAAGTTTCACAAGAGAAATAAAAAATTTCATTTCCGAAAGTGTTATTTTTATTAAAATAGAAGATAATTATGTATCATTTCCTCTCTCTCTCTCTCTCTCTCGCTTTTTGTTTTGCTTTTTTGTATAAAGAGAATAAAACATGTTGCAGAATATTTTTTTAATAATAACAATTAACGTAAAATCTATTATAAACAGGGGTCATATTGATGTATAAAGTTATTTTGCTTTATAAATGCTTTCTATGAACCTCTATTGTGTTTGGAACTTTGAACTTCTTCTACAAACCATGTTTATAGAGTTCATTTCAAAATTTTTGTTCTATGCAATCCGATTGGCCCGAGCTTAGATAACCCTCCATTTTGAGCCTCTCTGGTTGATCGACATAACTAATTTTAGTTTTATGCCACTTCTTGAAATTCAAGATTACGAGCTTATTTTATTTATCCATGTCTTTCGAGATAACTTTAGAATATTTCTCATAATGTAATGTTCGTACACCATCCTCAAGATCTAAAAATGCTTTCTATGGACCTTTATTGTGTTTGAAACATTGAAACTCTTCTACAAATTATGCCCTGTTAATTGCGGATTAAATTAGTTTTTTAGTAGATTTTGATGAAAGTTCATGAAATATATAGTTAAAAAGTTGTGGGTTCCATGAAATATGTGATGAAAATTAATAGCACACTTTTGATTTAGACTGAAATATAAATTTTAATCCATACCAAACAACGGCTATATTAATAATAGACTTCCTCACTTTACTTTAAATTTTTTGTCTCTCACTAACCGGTCGAGCTAGAATAACCCACTATGAACGTAAGCCAACCATCTATTTTGAGGCTGTGTGGTCGGTCGACATAACTAATTTTATCTTCAAGCCACTTCTTGAAGTTCAAGATAACCAGTTCATTGTTTTGATTTATGTATTGCCCGAACACCATATGCAAGATCAATGAATTCAACGTTTAAACATGGACTCCAAAGCAAAAGCTCGACCATCAGCTGTCCCTGTCGCGTTGGCAAAATTTATAATATTTTTTTTGTTTTTACACTAAGTGAGTGGAAGTCACACTCCCAATAAACCACAGTGAAGCAACAGTGCTAAATGAACGGTCAGTTATGAAAGCTACACCAACATATCAACCACTTATCTAAAGCACTTTATAATGGGCTTGCATCATATAGCCATATTGTCTTATCATCAAATCATCATCAAGCCACATGTAGGGTTAGGATCCAAACGAGAAATTATCACCAGGTAATGCCAAGCCAGTCACCACTATATATATAGCCTTTGTAAGCATTAGGTGAAAGCATAGAAAAGACAGAGAGAGATTGAGAAGGCGAAAATGGTGCAGAAGGAAGAAAAGATGAGAAAAGGTCCATGGACAGAAGAAGAAGATTATCAGCTGGTTTTACACGTGAACTTGTTTGGTGAAAGACGATGGGATTTCATAGCGAAAGTATCAGGTTTGAAGGTTGGCGGGAGACAAAAGTACTAGGTAGGATTTATCTGGGCAATGAATCCAATTTTCAATGAGCCCTGTAATTTAACACAATATTCTACGTATATATTGTTCTTCTTGTTGTAGGTTTGAAAAGAACTGGGAAAAGTTGCAGGCTCCGCTGGGTCAATTATCTCAATCCTGCTTTAAAAAGAGGCAAGATGACACCCCATGAACAGCGACTTGTTCTTCAACTTCATTCTAAATTGGGAAATAGGTTAATTTTCCCATCTCTCTCTCTCTCTCTCTCTCTCTCTCTCTCTCTCTCTCTCTCTCTCTCCCCATTATATGTATAATAATGTGTCGTGCTGAGATTGTACAATATAGAACCATATGAATCTTAGTCTTGTTCAAATTTTGAATTATGTAGTTCTAAGACATAGAGATAACTACATGCAGATGGTCAAAAATTGCTCAGAAATTACCTGGAAGAACAGATAATGAGATCAAGAATTACTGGAGAACTCATATGAGGAAAAGTGCTCAAGAGAGGAAGAAATCTGCTGTATCTCCATCGTCATCGTCCTTGTTCAAATCTTCTTCATGTAACATAATTGAAGAGATCAAAGAGCCCAGTTTTTATGATACCGGAGGTCTTGGTATGGTAGCAAGTACAGAAAAAAAACTCGATGTGCTAACGCCCAACTCAAATATGGATGGACCTGTCTCGCGACGTTCTGAATCGAAGAATGTACAAGAAAAAGAAGAAACCACAAAATTCAACTCCATGGATGAGATATGGAAAGACATTGAATTGTCTGAAGAAAATTACAATTTCCCAAGTCAAACAATGGCATCTCCATTATGGGATTATTGTCCAGACTTTCTTTGGCCTATGGATGAAGAAGAAAACAAGATGTTTCTGCCAATGAGTTATCAGTTTCGTTCTTTCAATCAGAAGAAGACTGGCTAATTAGACTTTTAAAAAAAAATAAAAAAATAAATAATAATAATAATAATTATTATAGGTTTTAATTGATTAGGTTGAATAATTAGGAAGTAAGTTCTATGTTTGTTTAGCTTCATGTTCTTATAACGCTGTAGGGGTGTATAGGTGCACGTAGAATACGAAGTATGGCAGTCCGACACACTATAGGCCGGTTCAGGCCTCGAACGTATAGATCTAGTATGATGTGAATTACAACTCTATGTCACGGTTCTTCTTTATTATGAAATTACTTGTAATAATCTAGTTATGTATAATCATGCATCTAAATTACTCTATCCCAGACAAATTATTATTTTTTTTTTCAAAAACATTTTTCCCGATTTATATTTTTTACTTCCAAGTAACAATGTTACTTATTAAAATAACTTTTACTTATATTAAAATAAAGTAATTAACTTACTGATTTTAAATTTTGAAAAGAATTAGTTCATTTTAAAAATTACTTAGTTATGTATAGGTAAATTTAGTCCACGTTCGGTTTAGCGAAAAAGTCATATTAAAATTTAAGTCAAAATCAACAATTAATTTTAAACACATGTTTTATGGAATTCTCAACTTTTCAACACTATATTTTATCAAATTTATTAAAAATCTATGTTTTATCTAAACCAAACGAGGGCTTGATGATAAATTTTTAAAGCTTAGCCAAGCAAGTTCTAATAACTTTATGGTATATATATTATATTCAAGAAACAATATAAAATGAATGTGAAGATGCAATAATTAATGTTAAAATGATGGTTAAATAAATAAAAACAAAGAATGAATGGTTTTATCTATGATTGTTAATGGGCCTTGTGAATTTTACGGAATTTTCATAAGGGGACAACACATAACCCAGGTCGTTAGAATTCACCATTTCAAATTTAAGGAACATGTTTCAAATATTCACAAATCAGATCATAAATGAATATATAATATATAATATATTTTATATATTTATATATGGTATGAGTAAATATAGTTCCTGAAATCAAGCAATCAGTTACCATTCCAACAACATTTTCCCAAAAACAGCATCATTGTCTCTGGAAAAAAATCCACAAATATTAATATGGCGCAATTCTTCACGATTGCGACTTACTCAAACTGCAATTGAAAAATAGTTGTCTACAGAGGTCATAATTAATCGGATTCCAGTGGACACAATCATTCATCAGTGCGTTTATCTGAAACAGTTATGCCGTCCAAAAATAGTTGGTATGTGATGTTACATTTATTTCAATTGAAAATAGATAGCAAACAACGATTATTTGCATTGTTTGGTCATTTTTATGTAATATTGGTCACAAACGCGTATTAAAGATCTATGAATCTTAAAAAAATATGTAGCGTATTGCAAATGTGGTTGTGACCAGAATATATGTTCGTGATATTATTTTTTTTCTTTATTGCAAAATGTGTGCGGATTTGTGACTAGACTTTAAGTTTGTGACGTTAAATTTATGGTAATTACCCGTCAAGTTATGAAAATCATAATAGAATGTCTTCGTGACCAGAATATCTATTTGTGACATTAATTTCTATCTATATCGCAAAATTATGGATTTGTGACCATAATTTTCTGTCTATAAACGCCTGCCAAGTTATGAAAAGCATATGAGAATGTTTCTGTAATTGAAATTTGTCTCTGTGACCATATTTACGTTTGTGTCCAGAATTTCTCTCTCCACCATTTACTCTCCAGTTTCTCAAATGTTTTTGTAATCTGTGACCTGTATTTGAATGAATTGTGATTTGTAATATAATTTATGACTGAATTTTTTCTTGTGCACTATTGCAGAAATGTGATATGTTCACGTATGCTTGTTATATGAAGCACATTCACCCTTGTCTTGCTCGATCATACTTGCTGTTATGTGAAGCTCGTGGACATAATAATAACAGAGTTCAGTTTGGATCCTGCAAAGGTCGCGGTCGCAATGAATTACTTATTGAACATTGATTTGCCTTCGGTCAGAATAAATAGTGGCAATACTGCTTTGGTGTACATAACTCTAAAAGGTATAGATCGTGACTTGTGCATACGAATGTGAGCTGTAAAGAACTATCACGCAAATGTGACCTATGATCTGTGCACAAAAGTCTGTGATTTGTGACCTAGACACATAAATATGTTAGAATGTGACCTGTGTACAAAAAGATATGACCTATGACTAGTGCCTTTGACCAAAGCAAACAAATCTGTGACTTGTGACTTGAGCACGCAACTGTAACCCATGACTTGAGCACGCATAGGTAATCTGTGACTTGTGCACATGAGACTGTAAACTGAGCACGTCGATGTGAGCTGTGAAGAACAAGCACGCGAATGTAACCTATGACCTGTGCACACAAAGGCAATTAAATCTATGACCTGTGACGAAAAACCTATGACCTGAGCATACAAATCTATGACCTGATCATATAAATCAAACACCTCGGACCTGGGCATCGAAGTAATTAACAACTGAAAATATAACATCTAAATGATACTAAGAGAACTGTGCCCTTAGAGAATGTAAGTTGCATTGAGCATTCAAACAACACTAGAAATGCGAAACTATTAGAAAATTGGAAAACACATGATCAAATCTGTGAAGAACAAGCACGCGAATGTAACCTATGACCTGTGCACACAAAGGCAATTAAATCTATGACCTGTGACGAAAAACCTATGACCTGAGCATACAAATCTATGACCTGATCATATAAATCAAACACCTCGGACCTGGGCATCGAAGTAATTAACAACTGAAAATATAACATCTAAATGATACTAAGAGAACTGTGCCCTTAGAGAATGTAAGTTGCATTGAGCATTCAAACAACACTAGAAATGCGAAACTATTAGAAAATTGGAAAACACATGATCAAATGCAGTTCCACTATTGCATTAATGTAAACATTAAAAATTTCCATGTATCTGTCCCCAGCATTTCAAAATATCAAAAAAAAAAAAAAAAATTGCAAATCTACTAGCCACTAAACTAAACTTCTACAATCGTTCAATTACAATCTCTCTCCCCTTGGCTTTACCCGAGTTGTCGACTTCTTGATCTCTTTATGTTTAAAGAGTAATGTAATAATTTCCAACCTAGCTCGGTTAACATCAATTGGGGTTGCAATATGATTTCGTGGCATTCCATGTAGTATGAAAAACACGTGTCTACTAGGATAGCCTGTTCATCAGTGAATTTCGATGTGAAATTTGACAGAACATTCTTTTTCGTATTGGTTGTAATTTTACTCGGAAACCAAAAATCTTCCGGGATAATATACTTTCATTCTTGCATCACAGTAAAGAGAGGGTAAACATGTCAAATTCTCAAATAGTACACAACATTAGACACAAAATCCTCATATTGCACTGATTCTACTTAATAAAATTGATCACATTATATTCACATTGTGTACGAAATCAAGAACATTGTACTATCTACTAACCATTACAAAAATATCTCACAATCTGAAGATAGTTCTTAATATTGGTCACAATCCACAATCAAGGTGGTCACAATCCATATTGGTCACACGAAGACATCTCACAATTTGAAGATAGTTCATAATCTTGGTCATAATCTACATTTCATGCATTGTTCACACAAATAATACTCACAACCTATATTGGTCACATGAATCATATTGGCCACAATCCATATTCCTAAGTGGTGTATGATTTAATATATCTACAAAGAAGTGGTGTATGATTTAATTTATGCTACAATATAGTTATTGCATTGAGTCCCTGACTCTCCCCATCACAGCATTTACAATGAGATTGCCTATGCAAACACCGAAATCTAGCAGATTAGAAACATCTCACAATATAATGATATTTCATTATCTTGGTCACAAACATTTCAGGCATTGGTCACACAAATCAGGGTGGTCACACGAAAACATCTCACAATCTGAAGATAGTTCATAATCTTGGTCACAATCCACATTTCGCGCTTGTTCACACAAATAATACTGGAAAGATTTCCTAGCAAATTAACAATATGATATTCATACTCACCCAATTTAATTAGAAAAATGGATTACCCATAATCTCAAAAGACAAAAAAAATAATAAAAAAAAATCAACTTACGGTTTTCGATTTCGATTTTCAGTCGGCTTTTTTGGGATTTCTTCATGAACTCTCTTTTTTTACTTTCGGCGTTCTTCTCTTTCGTGGTTCACTTCCAAATGCGTCGCCGAAAATGGATAGAGATTTCCGATCACAACTCTTCGTAATGGCAATTTTACAAGATTCCCGATACCAACCTTCCCTCCGTGTTTGATCTTCTTGGAAAGCAAATAGAACTGTGTGGCTTTAGAGATTTTGCTTAGGTACCATGAAAGAACAGGATAATAGTTTCGACTGTCGATTGAAATGAAGTAGGATATATTTGTGAAATTTGAGTAAAAATCAATTTGGTTTTATTGATTGATAGAGGGTATGTTCGAAGATTTTGCAGTTTCTAAGAGATTGTTTACTATTTTGAAAACTTTTTCTCTCTAATTTTAACGTTAAAAGCGGAAGCATTCAAGATGAATAAATATTTATTTAAAGCATAATAAAATATTAATTAAAACCTGATTTTTGTATTATGAAACTTAATCCTTGGTTTATGAAATTGGATCTTTGAATACCGGGCAGGCTGTAATTTCTTCTTTTCATAAACACGTAAGAAAAGAAGTGGACAAAATTCATAACTAATAGGTTAAGCATCACTCATTTCAAAACTAAGAACAAAGATATTAAATTTTAAAATTTCAAAATTTAGATTTTTATTAAAATTTAATTAATCAATTAAATATATTAAGGTCATAGATTTATACAATTTGCTCACAAATTAACGATTTAGTTAATCATATATTACTTTTTGGTCACGAATCAAAAATTTTATAGGTCACTAATTATTTAACGGTCACAGATTAAAAATTTCATGTGACAATTTGTTCATCGATCATAAATCAAAAAATATTTAGGTCACAATTTTTTATCAGTGACAAATTACAAATTTTATAAATCACAATTTATTATACAGTAAAAAATTATCAAATTATTGGTCAGAAATTAATAAAGTTGGACACAATTTATCTTTTTTATTGGTCATGGATTAGCAAATTTAATGGTCACAATCAACAAAATTATTTGTGACCACCATCTCACCACTGTCATCAACCGCAATGCCACCAATATTTTCGTGGGCAAAACTACCAACGCTACACCCATAGCATCACAGAATCACTACTGCCATACCCACAACATCACAGAACTCATCG